AGTGGCTCATAACCCTTGTTATTTCTCTACTGTATATCAGTGGTCACCGGCCTTTATGACCATTGCTTTATGTATCTTACCATGTTTGAAAGAATTTGTGTCTTCCAGTGTTGTCGAATGACAACGCTGTTGTGAGCGAGGACGTAGTTATCATTTTCGGATAACTCTCCGACCTCATCTGCATTTATATTGTCATTATGTCATTCGAAGTATTTCTACTACTCGATTCTGGAGGACACGCCTGGAAAGATGCTAAGAGCTCGAGGACGAGCTCACTCGAACGAATGGAGATGTCGGGTCCACGTCCACTGTGAAGGGGCGTGGCCCAGGTTACGGTATCGAAGGAGGCTGGCGTTGGCTAGCCGGGGCTCGGGAGTGATGGTCCAGCCTTGACCATACTCCACCCCATTCTTATGTCCCTCTTCCTGACTCTATATTATGTAATAAATATGTATAGCCTAACTTTGGCTTTTGTATTATTTGGATATTCACCCTACCCGCTACACACAATCAGATTGAGGAGTAATTAACCTATAATCTGATACCCCAAAATTTATTTTTCGCTGGAATTTAGCCCATAGAGGTTATTAAATGATTTGATTACGAAAATGACACTGATTTTTGGCGCAGGCGCCATCTTCTGGTGAAATATCTGGTGCCTACCAGATCAAATTCACGCGAAGCGCAGCGTATCATCTCTTAATCGCTTGATAGAAGTGATTATTATAGGGGTTTTTGAACGAAGTCGCAATACAGAGAGTTCCCGAGATTCTTCAGTTTCCCAGAAGTTCATAGAAATTTACCTATCAAAGAATCTTTTTAAAATATTTGAAACCTAACTATCCGATAGAGTACCATCGAAGGAAACAGTAGCTTTCGAAAACGAGCACATTTGAGATTTTTTGGCGATTTCTAGATAATTTTGCCCCTCCTAATGCTCTCTGCGCCACCCCAACGCGAGCAATGAGTGTTTCTCTGACTGATTGTTACTCGAATAGTCAATGAGGTGAGGTATAACGCATTCTCGGGTCGGAGATGGGAATGGAATAGCTTTCAATTCACTGAATACTGTGATCGATACTGCCCTTGCAACGCATTTCTGATCTAACATGCACCTTCTGTCATGAAGTCGCCCTTTGTCATTTTCTTTTTTCGACCCCACAGAACGTCTTGAGGCGAAACGAACCACATATTTCACATAATTATGTTTTATTTACTATTTCTTTTTGTTTTGATGGTTGCGATAACACAGAATTTGAAGGGATTTCTCCGTTTCCAGTTGGGAAGTGCAGCTACAACCCTGGTTCAGACCCCTATCACCCTTGTTCTCTAGGAGATTTGAAACCACCACAAGTAATAGGCTATTTCTTCCTCTTCCCCATGTTATATGACTTCATACGACAGAACACAACGTGAAAATAAAAATTTATTAAATTATCTTCAAATAGCAAGAACTCTACGACGAAATCGCTGCTTCTGTTGGGACCGGAGACAAACCATTGCGTTCGTAATTCACAAGTCGGGTTCCAACAAGATATCTTAAAGAGGTTATCTTTATTGAATAGAAAGCTCAACAGCATAGTTACTGAAGCTTCAACTCACTTTTCATTCCGAATGTTCTCAGCTAGGCCCTGAATCTTGTTGAGCTGCCACCTGAGGAAACTTACGACTAGAAGGAGAATCAAACTGCTTGGGAAACAGTAACGTAGCACGAGGACGCTTTCTTCTAGAGGAGCATCTGAAATAAGCATTTCTTTGTTTCCGTCAGCAAAAGTATGCTGGAAAAGACCACTCACTAGTGACAAAAATGTAGAATCGTGCAATCAGATAAGGAAACGCAAGCAACGACTTCAGAACAGAACAAGTAAAACTAATGACGCCGAGAATGAACGTGGCTCGAAGATGTCGTAGGCGGATCTGGGTATATCTCTGAACAGAAATAAGTAAATGACTGGCTCAGCACGGTACAATACTCAGAAAAATGATTTCGAACTGGTCTAAACCTGAGAATCGAAGCTTGTCGCATCCACCACTCCGGCCCCATCATCACGGCTCCGCATACAATTTTCATGTGCAATACTCCCATAGCCCAGTCTTGCCAAAGGAAGGTCAATGAAGTCTAAAAAATCACATTTTATTTTACAGGCAGAAGTGGTTTGTCCTCAGGCTGTTCTAGAGTTTTAATTTTGCCAAAAGGAATTACAACAGACCTGTTGGAAAGATAACCTCAGTGGAGTAATAACCACGAGTTGAAAATAAGTCCCCATCAACATCGGAATGGCGAACACAATAGGAATACAAATCACCAGCAATCGAAGAGCCTGAATTTTCTGTTGTTCTGAACCTGATTAGTCAATGTCGTTCAAAAAGGTAAATGCGTAGCTCTAACTAGGGAAAGCATTCAACCTTTCATGGGACTTCGAATTAGACCTAGAGAGATCGACAGAGCTTAAAACGTGATTACAAATGTGGATACTAAAACTGCAGGTGAACCTGCCAATGAAGTTGTGAGAAGTTAAAGTTGTTGGCTGAAAGTGAAGCGTTACATATGAACCGTGTTAGCGCATGGGTATTCAGAGTCGCCGTAAAGTAGTGGTAGTGCTCTCGAAATTTGCGCTCGAACGGGAAGAGAGGTCAATGCCTACCCCGTTTGAGAGGGCGAAAGCACTACCACTACTCCAAGGCGTCTCTGACAGCCCGAAGGCTAGCCGATTCACATGTGACGCTTCATTTCTAGCCAACTTTGACAGCTCACAACTTCCTTACCAGGCTCATTTTGCAGTTTTAGTTTCTAAATGGAAATCTGCACTTGAAAGCTCCAACGATATATCTAGGCCCTAACTCGAAGTCCCACGGAAAATTGAATGACTTTCCTGGTAAGAGCGCTCGACAGCTCTCTCAAAAAGGATACTGCGGTAGCACACGAAGGAGGCTAAGAACAAGGCACTCTCATATGTCTTTTGATGCAGGCTAAAATCTGTTACATTCGATTTTTTTACCCTTACAAAAGTTCAAAATTGAGAAGAGAACGACGGCAATAAATGACATTCAAGAAAAAAAAGAAAAAAAAACTAACGAGATTAATTGAATTAACAAAAGCTTCCTTGAGGTGGTGAACGCCCAAATGAAACCAGTGGAGGGAAAGAAGACCCGTTTTCACAAGCATCCAGCATATGTACAGGCCTGTGCCCACCTAAAACCATTTCTTAGTGCAGAGTATCATAATTCGTAAAAAAAACAAAGTTTAAAGTTTTTTCGGTCTTGCTTAGAGAAATAATTTTGATCTTACGGTGTATAGTTCGTGAACATTTGTATATCCAGTAACGTTGTGTATAATGGTCCGTCCAACCGTGACTAAAAAGCAACGTCAATCAGCTGTTGAGTATCAGACGTATGATAAATTAGGCAATACCTGGGACCAAGAACAGCACACAACTAGTAAAGCAGCATGTGAGAGCCATGGCACCCAAAAGAACCAATATACGGAGTGGGAAAAGCCGGGGACGTGTATAGGGCTGAAAAGCCTGTGGCTCACGAAGTAGAAGAAGAGCCTGAAGATCAAAAAAAGATAAATATAACTGTAACCCAAAACGCATGAGCAACAGACCTGATGTTCGGCAGCAAGACCACCTGCTCCTTGCACACCTGCTCCATCTGCTGGTTGCTCAGCATTCGGTAAGTCGGGTAGGAGATATCTGAAGTTGGAAGGTTCAAAGAAAAAGCAATAGAGCGTAGCGTATTGAAAAAATCTGGCCTGACTTCGACCTCACCAAAAAAAGTGTAGAAAGTAAACAACCAAGCTAAGCCTCCGAATAACCAAAAAGAACCAAAAAATGTAAGAAAAGCCAGGAAAACAATGTACTATCCAGTAGGGATGTGAACACTAATGAAACAGTTAGATTTGCTAGATGACTGCACCCAGAAATACCGCCGTACCTGTCAAGACTAAGGGCTCGACCGATGTGCACGCACCACCACAGCACAATCGCTTTTAGCAGAAATCGAGCCTGAGTTTGTTCAAGAAGAGCTGGAAGCACTACCTAAATGATGCAAATAACTAAAAAGAAAAATATGTGCAGCTGCAGCTCCAAAACAAGCTGTCAAATCCAAGGCCCGGAATGCACACTCCTAAAAAACCATACCTGAAGTATCAGAAGCTCTAAAGAGAGCTCGCTCAATGGTGTGTCAGCGGACAAGCTCATATTATACGGGAGCAAAGACGGATACAGCTTTTGCACAATACATAGGGGAACGTAAACGATGAGGAAAATCGTTGTAAAGCATAGCGACTGAAATCATCAAAAATTGAATATGAATTATCAATTTTAATAAGGAAAGGCTCACTGTTGAAGCAACAAGACGGCGCAGATGACGAGTCACCGGCAGTTCTATCATCTAGAAACAAAATATGAGTAAGGCATAGTACAAATCAGATGCAGGGCTAGTTTAGAAAAGATTAGAAACCAAAGAAGGGAGGAAACCGAAGAAACAAAACTGACTTCTTGAATCGGATTGAATTCAGGATCATTTAGATTCCTCATAAACCATAACACGCCCGGTCTTAAAACTTCACGAAGCAGAAGTACAAACGACGCGAAGTAAAAGACGTACACCTGAACAAATATAAAGAATGGCTAGAAAGGGAAGGGACTGTGAGAGGAACAGCAAATGTTACCATTCCGATCATCCAGTGGATGAACACAGACGATGTTGGTGAAGCTGCGAAGGAGGCAGCTCTTGAAGATAGTGAAGCAGAAAATAGCTTCTGAAATACCATAATAGAGAATGAGCAGAGACAAATGAATATTTTTAATTCTGCACATTTGAGTAGACGCATGATGTATGAAAAGCTTACCAATGAACACAAGTCCATCCAGCAGCCGCAAATGATTGGAAAGAATCCTATTTCCACAAGCACCAAAAGGAAGACTTTCAATACAAGGAAACAAATTCCAAGTACAACGATATACACTACAAATTAAAACAGACGTGACTACTTAAACATCCTTCCCTGTACTAATGTAAAAATGCAACAAACGCACGCTGATAGACGAAGATGCGCCACGCATAGTGGGCAAGAACAATAAATTAACGTCGTTACTGCTACGTATCCCGTTAAGATAGCAGCGATTGACGGGAAGTAGTGTATGGACTGTTGAATGCCCAACCTTGCTCAAGATGAAATATCCCAGCTTGTAAGGCGCATATGCTGAATAGAGGTTGTTTAGGAAATTCAAACAAAGGAGTAAAGCAGCCTACATACTCTATTTTTATTGACTACTCGTTCTTATGCCAACAGAGGAAAACTCAAAGGACTACTGAAGGAAAACAGACGTATTTCCCACTCACCTGACATAATGTCGCTTGGGAGATGCACAACGGATTATACGGCAGACCAGAATCACAGCCTGCGCAGGTTTGAGGATGCTAAAGTATCGACGTATGCGCACCCGCATCGCACTGGTCGTGGAGTTCACCATACGCTCAGAGGACGAATAGCAAAGTAAACTAGACGCCACAAAAAATATGAGGCTAACAGAAAAAATGATGCGATGCTTCAGTGCCGTACACACTAGCAGGTTGAGCATCGCTATTAAACGACAACTCCTTTTTCCTAACCAGCTCTCTCTGTGAATCATTTCCTTTATTCCCTATCGCTAAACCATCTAAACTTTACTAGGGAATAACGTTTCAGCAAGGATGTTCAAAGGAATCGGAGAATCGTTTTTTCTGTTTTCATAACAAACGCTCACCAAACATGATGGTAAACAGCGTGTCCAACGATATCACCCAAACAACACGTTCCAAGAAAACGAGTGAACCGTCTAATCCAAGTAGCCTTTGCCATGTTAGCTCGTCTCCCAGCCTATGAATATGGAAACAAGAGATGTGCGATAAACACTCCAGAAACAAAAATAATGATTCAATCAACTTGACTATAAAGAAGCAGAATATGCACCTGTCTAGGTCTCTCCAGTTATCTTCCGCTGGTATTTCTACACCCGGCTGCGCAGCTGCAGGTTGAGGTTGTAAATGATCTTAAAACATACTGCACGTATTGAAATATAAAATGGACGAAGGAGATAAGAGATAAATAGTTCCAAGTAATTGACAATTGAACAAAGGTAGGCTCACCCTCTACTGATTGCTGGTCTGGTACTGGATCTGTCTCCTTTTTCCACAGCTTCGTTCGGTTGCGCCTACAACACGTGGTATCTCTTGAGCTCGTTATTTCAATACAAAGCACAGTGATCAAACAAGCTAATGAAAGCACAAAAATGACGCTCAGGATGCGAAACCCCACCTGCTCGTGTTCGCCATCTGAATCTACTTCCATCATATCCTCAGCGTCGTAATTGTCGTAGCGTCATTCTCACCTACGTCGACTTCATCCTATAAAATAAGACATTTGTTATGTTTATATGTTTACGCGCATGGAAGCAAAGTTCTTGAAATGCTGAGTGCTTAACCAACTAACGAAACCAGAATTTTCAGTATCGAACAAAGGAAGGAGCATGCAAAATTTCGGAATCATATCCTGCATTTCTTAAGATTCTTCAGAATCATGTACAAAATTACTAATAATTAAGAACCTGTTCGCCCGCGTTGACAACTCTTTCACCGTGATTCTCTTGCAGCTCTTGATCCACCACGCCATTCGGGATGGCGTCCGCTTGCTCTTAAAGGAGGAAATGATGGTACTCCACATTACTGTTTCAGAGAAACCCTCAACTAGAAATTGAAAGTTTCAAAAGTCTAACCTATGTTCAAGAAATCATGAGGTCCACCGTGAATGATCTGTTCTCGGAGCCAAACCAGAGAAATGAACGTACAAATAAAAATTATCAGCAAAAAGCAACCCTGAAAAAAAAACCGTTTTTTTTCACAATAGTCCAAGTCGAGGGAAAGAATCACCTTGAAAACATCAGGAAAGATGTGTTCTGTTCGAAATATGCTGAGAGGAAGAACGAGAATCTCTTGCATGGAAAGATAGAACACTGCGTGGTATATTCTCGCAGCAGTTAACGGAACTATACCAAGCCATGATACCAGTACCATTGTGTAAACCAGCCATGTCCGCAACATTACTGCCGCATTCACCACAACTCCTGGAAACAAACACATTGGAAAAGAATTACAAAGGTAACTCGAAAAAGCGACTTTACCTTTGAGTATTTCTACAAGCGGTAGAGCTTTGGGCATATCATGCCGATATATGGGTTGGAAAGAATACTTGTAATTGCAAAGTTCGCAGACTTCTTTTTTACTGGAACACAGTGATATAGATAAAAAGCTGAGAGCTATACGAGCGAGCTAATGAGAGGCTTGTGAATAAGTATAACTGTGAAATGTAACTCAGGTGTTACCTGTACTTCAACCATTCGGTGAGGCACTCCTGATGGACATACTTTATACTGCCGGTACAAAGACATGGGTAGTACAGATGACCATCTTCACCCCTACACACGCGGCACATATCTGCAAATAGCAACCATAACCCATCACAGTCGAAATAATCATATTATGCAGAAATCTTACGATGATCATCGGAGTCTTCCATGGACTGCGTAGTCTTTGATGCCGAACTTGACGGTTCCACTTCCGTAGAAGATTTCGCAGAAGTCTCGGCTAGATCCTCACCGCTCAAGGGCTCCATTATAGTAATTTAGTACATCAAACTCTCGTGCTAAATGTTCGGATGCAGGGAAAAGCCTTTTTACATCCCGAAAGCGAACTGATATTATGATGGATGGAGCGGCAGAATCAATATGCACAGAATACGAATGGTTGTAGAAGGCTCTGAACTCTTGTTTAGATTAAAAAGTGCATAGCCCTTCCTTCATCTTCTATATCCCGGCCCTTAGCACATAGGAAGCAACCTATGCAAAAAGATAAAGTTTAACTTTGTGGTTACGCTTCGAGCAAAACCATTTTTTGCTGGTCATGTTGGAAACCTATAGCTCAGATCCTACTTACTATAAAGCGCTTCGTCTGTCGTTCTGTATGTCTGTCACGAAATTCCCTAGCTCCTCGGGATCCGCCTGGAGGGACCGGGTCAAGTGTGGGATGGGTGGGCAAGGTCTCACGAAGTACAAAACACACATCAGCTAAGCGGAGCCCCGCCCACAGAGGGCGTGGCGTGCGTCGAAATGAACTGTACCGAAGACCAAGATTTCGATTTCAGTGACAAAACGACCTCGAAACTGGGCCAAAAAGTGGGTAAAGGTGTGCATTGGTAAGTCACATCGAATTAGGGAGACCCACCCCCGGTGGGCGGGGCGTTCTCCAAAAAGCAGTGCTTTATGAAAAAACTTCGCTCCGCCCATTCGTGGGCGGAGGTCCGCACACAATGGGCGGAGCGCACTCTGAAGTGTACAGCATTTCTGTACAAGTCCTCATAATTCGAGGCCGGAGAAGTCTTAGTGAGCCGGAAAAAGGTGGATAGGAGGTGGGTGAAGGAGTGGAGCCAACTGTAATGGTGGGCGGAGCATGATCCAAAGTGGGCGGAGTTTGCGACGGAAATTCATAACTCGGCTCCAAGAAGTCCCGAGATCGGGAAAGGATAGAGGTGGGTGAAGGAGTGGAGCCCAACTGCTGTTGGTGGGCGGGGCATGACCAAAGTGGGCGGAGTTTGCGACGGAAAATTTATAACTCGGTTCCAAGAAGTCCGGAGACCGGGAAAAAAAGGATAGAGGTGGGTGAAGGAGTGGAGCCCAACTGCTATTGGTGGGCGGGGCATGACCAAAGTGGGCGGAGTTTGCGACGAAATTCATAACTCGGTTCCAAGAAGTCCAGGAGACCGGGAAAAAAGGATAGAGGTGGGTGAAGGAGTGGAGCCCAACTGCTATCGATGGGCGGGGACATATAGCTACATCGCCGCAGAACTGTGCTGTGCGCGCAACGCGTGCGGCGCCAACTGGTTTGTCAGATATAAATACTGCGAATTTCCATGAACATCCTTCCATGCAATTTGATACTGACACATCGTTTGGGACTTCCTAACTTTAAAATGAGCGCAGTGTGCTTCCTAATGGGATCAGAACACGAGCAACTTCTGCTAAAACAAAAAACGGTGCGTCATAATCTGATATACTTTCAATTAGAAATAAAACCTCTGCAGCAAAGCAAAATAGAGACAGCTCCGATAATGACAAGGAAGTATGAGAGACAAGACAAGACGCGTCGTGGAAAAAAAAAATGGAAAGAAAAGATAGAAAAAAAGCCGAAAAACACAAAGAAGTATAAAAGAGCATGTAGCTAGGTAAATAGTGACCTCAGAGCCAGGAGCATGCAAATTTGCAAGAACAGAGACGAGTAAGGGAGGGGTAAGTCGCATATTACGAATGCGGGTACCCGGCTATATCTACGGGTCGTTTTTCTCAACGCCGAGTTTCGGAACCACCAATATTATTAATTCAAAATCCGTGACGCTGCCACCCGCGCCCTCACCCCTCCCATCGAAGATGGACTCATTGAGCCGCTTTTCCACTTTACGGTCCACCCACCACCCGAGTTTTCCGGTATTTTTTGTTGCGGTTCCGGAAAACCTCGTACGATTACACGTTCAGGACATTTAGCTGAAAAACGAAGAGAGGTTACGAGGTCGAATTTGACATCATCTGACAAATCATCCCTCTACCTTGCTAAACAGTTGGGCCTGGACAAAATATGTATACATTTAGTTAGAGTAGGGTCTGCACTGTTTGGTGGAAAATTTATTACTTACCAGCTCAACTGGACAATTTTTCCCGGAGTCTTTTTTGCCACATGGGGTCAAAAACGCACCCTTTTTGAGCACACGTGAGTAGCAGATGAGCACATTTATTAGAATTTCTTGGTCAATCAACTTCGTTAGAGCGTCTGTGCACCATCGATCAGTAACTGCTAGGGTGTCCTACCATTCCAGCACAAGACTGGTGCAGCCCCGTTTTGACTGATTTAGCTAGGACCACCTTTTTGGCGACGGTTGCGGGCATCCCTTCAAAGACTTTACTGTCTTTTAAGAAAACTGTGAAAAACCGATGAGCATTTTAAATGGTAGTATTCCCTCCATCAAATGCAATGCTGGTTTGGTGGGCGGAGGTTACAGCTCTCAGCAAGAATTTTGATGCATTTGGTACACACATGCGAATTTGCACACTGGACCCAGGAATTTTCAGAAGAAAGTATAAAAATTGGGGGAAAGTTAAATTGTGAACCAACAATAGAAACGGTAAGCAACATATTTCGCAGTATTAATGAGCAAAAACTGCCTTCTGGGATATTGATTTTCCATAGTAATCGGCCCCAAAACTTCCTGAACTCAGAAAAGCGACACTAAGATATCCGGTACCTAATAGTATTAAGTCATGGCGAAAGGAAGTTGATAAAAACATAATCGAAAAGAATGGAAAGCTTACAATAAAGGTAG